TCTACCCACTTATCTCCTTAGGCAATGAATTCAATCAGAATTTGCAAAGGAATAATTTATAGAAAGAAGTCTGCTTTGAGGCTTACTTTGGTAGAACATATTGTGCTGCCATTCCCTCCTAAGAAAACAAATCTTAGCCATCATTTTTACCATGGATAGCTATTAACCACAGAGAAGGAACTGCTGCAGATGAACTTGCAGGAAGAAATCATGTCTAAAGCTTTTTGATACAAAAAGCTGTCAGAATCTTTTTCTGTCAACAAAACAATCAGGCAATGTTACATTAGTCAAAAATATGCTCTTGATGCATTTAACTCCTGAGTCTCTTCAGAAGTACTGTTCAAAATCGCTGATGAGATTGGCAATTGACAAGCCATTGCTGAACTTTTTGTTATTTTTTGTCACTCTTTTCTGGATTGTAGTACAGATCCCAGAGAGAGCTGAGAGCACTATAAACACTTCACTATCAAGTAGCATTTGATATTGCATATCCAGGAAGACTATTGAGCATTTGGTGCATTCCAGGGACTTCACAGTAATTACATACACACAACTACAAAATGCAAGAAGAGACATAAGTCAGTGTTGGGATATATACACAGAATAGTGGTTATTCCAGTCAGAAAATATTCATTGTTTTAAAATTTGGTAACATTTTACCGCAAAGTTCAGAGACACAGTTCAATAAACACTGTCAAGTCAATAGAAAAATGATTTGTGAAAGGCCAGCAAATTGGAACTGCAATAGTAGGAATATGTTTTCTGACAGCTTAAAAACAATTTCCTCTTTCCAATATGTTCTTTTATCAGTATACTTCAAGTAACTCATAGGCTATCAGAAAGTGTGAGGCAGCATAATTTTATTGATAACATTCAAATGTGAGGTGAAAGTGCTTCCAGAGCAAGGTCCACATCTTGAGATGTTCATATATTCATTTATGGGACAACTTATTTCATTCGGCCTTTGCCATCTAAAAATTTGCTTTAAGTGTCTCACCTACCATAACTATAATATCATGGTGAGGGAGCTAAGGGAGCACTCAACTGAGTGTTCTTACCTCCAACATGGCTGTTCTTTTGATAACTGTAAAATGAGCCCAAATAAGTCATATCCTGGGTATCTATACCTTTTTGGAGTAACATTAAGGCAGAAAAGTTGTGCATCTTGTAAAACATGGAGTTTTTCCTTCTTGCCTGTTCTTCATGGATCCTTTTTTAACAATCAAGGTTTATCTGAGATGATAATGGCGATACTAACTGTGTTTTTTGGAAATAATTAGAAAACAGTTCTACATTTTATGTACTTCAAAGACATGCAGACCTTTAACAGCGTATGACAGAACTGAACAGGGGTTCAAAACACTGAAACATTTCTTGAGAATGAAATATCTTGCCAAAAATTGCATCATAAGATGGAAAAAAAAATAAAAAAATAAAAAAAAATCACAGTTCAAACGCTGCAACATATAGTTGGTTTTATCACAGAATATTTTTGGCCACATAGATGAAATCGTTACTGTGTTTGCAGCCAGCTGTTTGCAGCATGAGGTTTCAGCAAGATACCTAAATGTACTGACGCATTTTTCTCTCTGCAGTCATAAGACCAAATTAAATGTGTTTTAACATACGTTACACTGATGCTTTTAGGCAGACAGTATTTCTTACTATGCGGACAAGAAATAATCAATAGCTGTTTTGTCTGTAACATCTTGTGTTTGGGATGTGAGAGGCTGTTTCAACATTACCTTGCAGTGGGTCCTTACTGCACTGGGAGGGTCATAAGCACTGTGGAAATATTAAGAGTATACAGTAGCAAAGGAAGTAAGAGCAGACCACACTTTGATTTCTCAAAAAAAATTAGGATCATCATCACTCACAGGTTTTTGCTCTTCAGTATGAAGGTTAAAACATTTACGTTTCTAATGTGTATAGTTACATGACCCAGCTTGATGATATAGATCTGAAGCCTTTAAAGGCACTTTCCTCTCTGTCAGCTGTATGTGGAACTTAGGCACTTACTCTAAGAAATCTGAATCATTAAACAAAGAAAAGTGTTCGCTGCATGTCTAAACCAGGCAGAACAGATCAGTTTGAGGTCTGTTTAGGTTTTTTTTTTTCCCCCCCCCACCTATGTCCCAACACTTCCACAATTTTATCCTGGAGATTTATGAGAAAAATTTAATTTTGAAAAAAATAAAAAAAAAGAATTAGTTCCTACAGCTTGACAGTATTACAGCAAAAGTACATCTGATTTTTCTGTTGTTCAGAGTAACAGGGAGGTAAGTGAAATACACTGGGAGATAATACTGGTGGTTTTAGCTGGGCTTTATAACTGGCAGTCTATCCACTGGAGCACAGAGGGCTCAGAGCAGAGAAGTCTAAATGGCTCCACGTGAATCAGATCAGGCATAGAAATGTGGCAGAGTTATTAAGCATTGCTGGATGTCAGTGCAGTACATATCTGATTACTTTGATGCCTATGTAAATGGATTTCCTATTATTCCCCTTACAGAAGCATTCACTGTGTATACACAAAACCACCACCACTCTGACTCCATGCTGCTGAAAAATCAGACATACTCTTCAAGCCAAAGCTGGATCTAGAAGCAGTATAGCAAACTTCTTGCAATGCTTTATCTGAACTGTGCATGATCTGGCAGATCGCATATATATGAAGCTAGCTCCAATGTGTCTCTACGTAGTCAAGTCATGCTTCCAAACGCAAACAGTAGTTGTAACCAGTACTTGATAGGTGGCTGTGGGAATCTGACATATGCCTGTATTGACTACCTATTTTTTTTTCTGTAAAGTAAACAAAAAACTATACTAACATTCCTTTCAGACTTACATAGTTGACTACTGCTAAGAAAATTGCATTGCTTGATGTTTTGACAAAGCAACCAGTTGAACTCCATTTTAAAAGATACTTCCTATCCTGGAGAGATAGGAAGTACAGAAGTTATTTCAAAGACACTAAAGACACCTCAGCCTCTCCAAAAAGATTATAAATTCACAAGTGATTGTTATTTCACTACTGAACATTTAAAAATGTTTAGTTTAATATGATTCACTTGGAATTGTTGGGAAGACAACAACAAAAAAAAAAGTGTCAAACAAGATTTCTGGGAGACAGGTGTAGATTTGCTTTTTCTTCTTTTGTCCAGCAAACTGGCTCTTTTGAGTTTGAATTGTGGGTGACAATTATCTTGGTACGATATTATTTAGCAGAAGGCAAGGGAATTCTCTAAAAGAAGGATCTCAGTCTGACATCCATGCAGTTCAGTCATTCACCAACAGCTTCATTTGTTTAAGGGAATGCTTTCTACAGGGTCTTGGAAAGGGTCTCACTCCACATCAAATTTGCCTGGTCAGGTAGAACCACTCAACAGCTTGACTTCTATCTGTGATTACTGATGATATCCCAACTTTTTTCTAAATGGTAAGTAACTGAAAGTGAGCATTAAGAGAGAAATTCCTGTTCTGAGAAGTCCTCCTTTATAATGCAAAATATCTCCCACATATATAAACACACAGACCTGATATAATCTCTTTCTTTCTTGATCAATTTAATCATCTTATTTTAATAGTTCACAGGCAGATTGCTAACCCATGAGTTGGTTTGTTGACTAAAACAAAGTTTGTCTTCGTATCCCAGATACACTGAAACTGCAGAAGCAGGATCATTTGGAGATCTTTCAGTTAGTTTTAAAATCTATAAGGAACGGACAATCATAAATGAATAAATTATTACTCCAGATTCTCAGTCTAAATGTTTGCTTATATTTATATACAATCATGTAAATGTTGCATTTTACTCCCTGATGTCGCATGCTCTCAGCTTTTCCTGTTTCACACAATGAAAATGTGTTGAAATATACCAAGATGATTGAATAGAGTGTGCAGACGTTCATGTTGCATTTACCCCAATTGCATCCTTAACAGTTAACATCCTTAACAGAACAGTTAATTCTGAGGTAAAACAAAAACAGGGAGTACTTTTTTTTTTTTTTTTTTTAAAACAGCTAGCACAATAAATCTATAAAGATTTCTTGCTGACACTTCTCAAATCTATGTAGGGGAAAAATTCCACGCAACTCTGTTAGAACAACAGAGTTCAAGTGCACAGAAACTAAAGCTCAAGAAATCCATCTGTATTGGGTGAAGATCTTTATGCACCCTCCTTCCCTCCCCCTCCCCCCCCCCAAAAAAAAAAAAAAAAAACAAAAAACTACAAGCTAAAACCACCCAGAGCCTTTCCAGACATGTCCAAATCAATTCATGTTCCTTGAATTCTGCCAGTGCTATCTGAAGTCATTCCCACTTTTTCAGATTTTGAAGGAGAAACAGTTTGTTCATCAACTAGTTCAGCAAGGTGTGATGAATTATCAATAACTATTTCAGAGGTTATGCTTACTGTACCTCTATCACTAACACAAAGTCTAGCTTCTCTTTGAGGAGCAGAACATTAACTAACTGGAATTCTAGTTCTGTTATCTTACTGGGAGCTTCATCTTTCATGCTCTTCATTCAGAACAGTGATAAATATCACCTTCTGGAATGCCCCTCTCTCCAGGCTATACAGAAAGATCAGAAGATTTCATGCAGCTAAACTCTAATCATGTGAATGCTACCTAGCTTGGCAACATAAAGCAGCATGACAATTTACTTTCTTAAATATTAGTATACATTAAATCACTTTACATATAGTACGCTATTTCAGCAAGCAATGCAAGCCATCGTCACTGGTTCAGCTGGTACCTGTAAGACATTAGTTGATGCTGATAATACAATTAAAACATATTTAATAATGGCAGCAGAATTAAACCCACGGTTTAGCTTTGAAATCTGAACTACCATGCGTAATGCTATAATGTGATAGAAAATACAGTGATAAGAGTAGGGTGGCAAAGTAAGTCTTCAGCTGTGGCAAATGACAAACCCAAATGCAGCAGCTGGAGATGCAGAAATAAAAATAAAAAAAATTAAGAAAAGGTGCTTACCTTTGGAAGGCCTCAGGTAGGCAGGGATCTTCAGCAGAAGAGTGTTTTACTGTTTACAGGAGCCAATACTGATAGGACAAGGAGGAATGGTTTTAAACTGAGACAAGGAAGATTTCAGTTAGTTTCTCACACAGATGGTGGTGACACATTAAACAACACCCAACACCCAAGTATGTTGTGGATGCCCCATCCCTGGAGGTCAGACTGGATGTGCTCTGGGCAGCCTAATCCAGTGGTTGGCAACCCTGCCTGTAGCAGAGGATTGAAACTAGATGATCTTTGATGCCCTCTTCAACCTAGGCCTTTCTATGATTCTATGAAGATACTTTGCCTCCACTACAACCCTTAAATGAGGTTTGGGAAGGGGTGGATCCTTGCTGCACCCCTTCCAGTCACTCAGGTGCATTGCATACACCTGAATTCCCCTGGGTTGGCCCTGCCTTCCCACCAGGTGCTCAATCACAGGTTCAGGGTATGACTTAGCGTTTCTGCTAAACCTTGACCACAGAAAGTGATGCAAACATATAGCCTTATTTTGCTGTCAACATGATCATTGAAAATAAGTCACAGATACGCCATATAATTCCACAGCATATTTGAAATGTCATGGTTGTCAAGCAAACTCCCTGGTGACTGGAGAAAGGGAAGCATCATTCCCATTTTAGAAGAAAGGGAGAAAGGAACACGTGGAGGTACAGACTAGTGAGCCTTATTTCTGTGTCTGGGAAGATCATGGAGCAGATTCTCCTGGAACAAATGGAGGCATAAGTGAGATGAGGAGGTGATTGGAGACAGCCAGCATGATTTCATCAAGGACAGATTGTGCCTCACCAATCTAGTGGCTTTCTGTAATGGAATGAGGGCATGGGTGGATTAAGGAAAGGAAACTACATGGGATGTCACCTACCTACCCGGATTTATGCAAGGCCTTTGGCATTGTCCCACACCACAACCTTTTCTCTACATTGGAGGGAGATGGGTTTAAAGGCTAGATTATTCAGTGGATAAATAATTGGTTGGATACCAGGATACCATCTGCCTTCTTGACACAAGGGTATACTCCTAGCTCATAGCCATGCTATTATCCACCAGGACACCTAAATCCGCTTCTGCAGAACTCCTGTCCAGAAAGTCAACCCACTAACCTGTACTGATTGATGCAATTTTTCCTCCCCAGAGGAGGAACTCTACACTTGCCCTTGTTGAACCGCATCAAGCTGCCCAACTTTCCAGTCTCGCTGAATGGCATCATAGCCTTCTTATGTATCAGCCACTCCTCCCAGATTCATATAATCAGCAAACTTGCTGATTCCACTTACTGATTCCATGACATTTAATATTAGGAGGAATTGCATGTCTTAATTCCCAACTCTATCTTACAAGGATATTTTGTAGGCTTTCTTTTAGGATGAGAATAGGAAGCTTTAGATGGAGTAGTGCTGCTAAAAATGGGAAAGAATAAAAAGAATTACACAAAAATATTTTGGGGGCATATTGACATCTCATATTTGCATTATCCACATTCCCACATTATATCCTATAGTTTGTTATAAATACACATTGTTTTATCATCAATAGCGAACTGCTTAGGCTTGATGTTATTTTGAAAGAAAGTGGGAGATGCTAAAGTTGACTTCTGTAGATTTGAGAGGAAAACGCTACAATGATTTATCAGTCTACAAAAGGATCTAAAAAGAAGTGGCTGGAACATGCACATCTTTGATACTGTTGTATCTACCTTCTCTGTTGTGCGGAAAACACACTGTAACATTTGTCTGTGAAATGTCATGTCCCCCAACAGCTAAGGGATGAGTTTCCTAACAGAACCGCTCTGACTGGGCTTGTCTCTAGAGATTTTGATGCTGATGAACAAGCACTTCTAGGCAGTCTGAAAAAAAAAAGCCTGTAAAGGAGCTGTGAGCATAGACTCAAAGGGAAAAAAAAAACAACTCTCCAACATCTGTATGGTAGAATCAGTGAGCCAAAGAAAAAAACTGCTATCCAGGCACAGACTGAGCAGAACTCTTTGAACAACATAGGGATGGAGAATTTCTGAGATACAATATGGGAAAACAGGAAAAAATACATCGCCTACTATTAGACACAGATGATGTGATTAAGGTGAAAATAAAAAATGCAACTCCCTCAGGAATCTTTCATGAAGATCTACCATTCCTTCATTCCCTTTTCTTCTTAAGTGAAGTGAGAGAAAACAGTAGTTCATAAAAATGTTAGTTCTCTTTTTTTCCTTTGGGAGAAGAGATACTTGGTACTTTCTAAAAGTTACTCAAGTATCTCACATTGGAACATTGGAACATCTCACACTTCAGCATTTTCATGTTGTCTGGTAAGTTCCTGAGAAAGACTTTGTGAAATAATAATTATTTTTCTAACAGATAGTCTGTCTAGGGGAGCACACACATGGAACTCCTGGTATGATTTCACACTCAATGGGAAAGAATTGAAGCGATTTCTAGATGAACCTGGAGACTTCTTGTTTGCTTTTTCACAGAATCACGGAATTGTAGGGGTTGGAAGGGACCTCCAGAAATCATTGAGTCCAACCCCCTGCCAAAGCAGGTTCCCTCCAGCAGGTCGCACAGGTAGGCATCCAGGCAGGTCTTGAACATCTCCAGAGAAGGAGACTCCACCACCTCCCTGGGCAGCCTGTTCCAGTGCTCCGTCACCTCACTGTAAAGAAGTTCTTGCGCATGTTTGTGCGGAACTTCCTATGCTGCAGTTTCCGGCCATTTCCCCTTGTCCTGTCTCCACTCGCCAATGAAAACAGTCCGGCCTCGCCATTCTGCCCCCCACACCTTAGATATTTATAGACCTGGATCAGGTCCCCTCTCAGTCTTCTTTTCTACAGGCTGAACAGACCCAGTTCACTCAGCCTTTCTTCATAGGAGAGATGCTTCAGGCCCCTCACCATCTTTGTGATACTGATGGGTGTTTAGTTCCGTTTCTAGAGGTGTTAAACAATAAAACTACAATATTTGTTACTGAACTGGTTTTACTGCAATCAGTGAAGTAAAAACTAAAAACTAAATATCTGTTTGTCAACCAAACTGGCAACACGCACTCAGTCTTTCATGAATTGCTTTCCATATTTATGCTTCTGATGGCCCATCCATCTATTTTATACATTCAGATACCTCAGAAATACATACATTCTTCATGAACATCTAATATTTTAAGAACGAGTGATTGAAACCAAACATCATAAGCATGTCATTTGTGTTCCAGCCAGAGCTGCTGAGACATCTTTCAGATCTATCTCAATGTATCTTGGAATGGCGTGGGTATGAAGATGGTAACAACCAGCAAAACAACGTATTTATTTAAATAGCACAGATATATTTTTGGGTTATGTTTTCTTCATGATTACTCTTGTTTTAACTTGGGTGCACTTGACATGTTACTTTTCTGAAATGTCTCTTAGTGTCTACATAATAGCATAAAATATTTTTCTGCTTTAAGTAATGCAGCATTAATAGAAGTTTAAGTTCATATAGTTATATTTGTGATGTTGAACAAATCTGAATTAATAACTAAATATTTAAATTTGACCAACAGAAGTAATCTGTTAGTGAACAAGACATGGCCGTGTAAGAATGGAGTTATGACATATATTTTCTCAAGTACTTAGAGTAGCTTAGAATCACAAAGCCAAATGGAAATAACACAAATGGTTGGCACATATTAAAGATACAAAAAAAAAAAAAAAAAAAAAAAAAGCAAAAATGGAGATGTTTTTACTATTATCTCATATGCTTTCATAATGGAATTATTAGAATTGTCTAGAATTATTTGTACGGTCTAACTTTGATTGTGAACAGCTTTGTAATGCAATGTTCCATTCATGCAAAGCAATCTGTGTTGACATTTTACCCACGCGCTCCACTTTTTCCTTTTGTCAATGGCACAAGTTTAAGAAGTTCTTTTCTTTTCTTTTCTTTTCTTTTCTTTTCTTTTCTTTTCTTTTCTTTTCTTTTCTTTTCTTTTCTTTTCTTTTCTTTTCTTTTCTTTTCTTTTCTTTTCTTTTCTTTTCTTTTCTTTTCTTTTCTTTTCTTTTCTTTTCTTTTCTTTTCTTTTCTTTTTTTCCCTCCCCTCCCCTCCCCTCCCCTTCCCTCCCCTCCCCTCCCCTCCCCTTCTCCATAATTATTATTTTCTGCAGATAATTACTTGAAATGTTAGTTCAACTGGAAACTAATTTGCCTTTGAATTTCCTGCAGTCTAACCTTGCTGGAATCACCTGTTTTGCAAAATGTTGTGGCATACATATAGGTAAAGTGCTGGCAATGAGTGAAAAACACATAGATCATTTCTGCCTGAGTAGGGTTTCTACTATTAGAGACAAGTATAAAGGCACTGATTAATAAACTTGCAATTGATTCCATTTGTAATTACTGTCTTTCTCTCAGACTCAGTTGTATGGACAATAATAGCACAGAACACTATGGTTAATTGTGTGTGGTACGGCTTCTGAAATAGTGAACATGATTTGTTTGGAGGTCTTGCAATGTACATGCACAAACCAAATAAATTAAAAATAAAGACCTCTTATTAATAATGATTTTTGACACCTGGCGTAGTCTTTTGTGTTGTGTGAAAAAACAAATGGACACACTGCTCTTAATTTACAAGGTGAGTAATAATCCTTTGATTACAGTAGCTAAAGACTGTCCTTTAATGGATTTTACTTGTCACTTTTAATTCTTTTTAATCTTTGTCTGCATTTCATTAGAACGGCTTTATCATTCTGATGGCCCTCCTGTCATTATTCTGATTAAGTTAATGGGTTGTCGTCATGCCACAGAGTGCCAGTATAAAATATAATTGTGTTATATTTATAGTCTTCAGGGACCTTTTTAAGATGATTGCTTTGCCAATCAGCTTTTCTGGTTTTACATGGTACATCATTGTAAGTGGAACACTGTATTCTGCTATCTCTTGCCTGGTGGGTACTCTGAGCAAAGCTTCTGTTTTAATCTCCCATGAGTTAATCTACCTAGAAAATTCAGCAGCCAGTTGGTGAGAGACCTAGAAAAGGTCTGTTATCATTTTCTGTGCTGTTCTTCAGCTGTGATTTTGACTTTCTGTTAAATAGCAACATGCCTGCACTGAACTTTTCATAACAGATGATACAGGTACTTGAATATTATTC